TCTTATAATAGTTGTCAATATACTGCATTAAAAATATTTCCCCAACTATTAGAATAAATAGTTGCAACATTCTGAAGATCTCAATTGTTTAGTGATATGCAAGATTCCAACAATTATATTTCAACATTATAATATCACAATTAAACACACATAAAATTCAAGCAATTTGATAACATTGGACTCAAGTATTATATAATCATGATTTTCTAGAATTTTGTGTGTGCATATATTTTTTGTAGTGTGCAAATCGTATATTGCTGACTCTTTTTTCTTTTATGTCTTTTCTTTTGTTGATCCTGCAGCATGAGTGTGTACTTTTATAGATGCATCTAATTGTTAGGATTTAAAATTTATGTAGGAATGAGATTTTTAGTGTTTGAGTAATTTTAGAATTTTCTAAGTTAGATTTAAAATAAGAAATAAAATTTTATGGAATGTAGGATTAGTTTTAGAAAGAAACTTCTATTATCTTTTTTTTTTCATGCTGCATGTTTTTTAATTATCTTGCATATTATTTTTTATTCTGCTTCTCTCTCTTCTTAAATTTTTATAATTAAGTAATTTTTTTTTCTTGTTTTCATGTTTTCTTTTTATAATATTTGTTTGACTTTCTATTAAATGTTTCTGTTATTCTTTTCCTTAAATAAAATTAGTTTTAAATCTTTTTTTTCTTACGTTTTGTTTCCCTTTTTTGTTTATATTTTTCTTTTGACATTCTGTACATTTTGTTTTATTTTCTTTTTTATCTATTTTAATTCAATTTGTTTTCTTCTCCTTATCCTAACAAATTTTTTTTTTTTTTTTTGTTAGAACCCTAAATATCAAGACAACACACTTATTATAGCATAAAACATGACTTAATACTTTTCTAAAGACGATCAAACAAAGAATTCATTCAAATTAGTAAGACACAAACATAAAAACTTTGATAATTAATTAAGGAAAAAGAGCGAGGAATGGACTCTTAAGCATGTAAGAAATACTCACATGTCATATAGCATGTTCGAATATATTTCAGTACACAACATTAATAATATTAACAGATTAAACACATACGAAATCTGAACAACTTCAATATATTGAAATTAATTCTTGCACAATAATGACATAAAATTATGCAAAAAATAAAATACAAATAAATGTTACCTCTTGTGAAAATTAGTTAACGAGATGAAAGGACAAATAATCAGGTGCCACGAACTTGAAACCGCGAAAACAGATTTTCAGATCTTCAATCACAATGTGAGAAAGTACAATGTATGTATTGCTTTTTTATTAAATTCATGCCTATCTCCCTGTGTGTCTTTTTTTTTTTTCTCTTTTGTAGTATGTGGGTGTATGTATATAGGTGTTAGGATAGGTGTAGGTGTGGGGTAGTGGGTTGTATTATGTGGGGTGTGGAATGTGGAGGAAAACGTGAGAGAGTGGGAGTGTGGGGAAGTTGAGAGACAGTGGGAGTATAACTTGCTGATGGTTTTCTTTTCTTTACTTATTTTTATTTTTTTTTGGAAAATAAGTCAAAAGCTTTTCCTTTTTTTATTTTTATTTTGTTCTCCTTTTCCCTTTTTTTGTTTTTTACGTGTAGTATGTTTTGGATAGGAGTAGAAGTGGGGTAGGTTTGCTAGATTATTTAAGTTATTTTTATTTTTTAGTTTTAGTTTTATACTACTTTTAAAAGAATAATAATTAACTATAAATAGTAAATTATAATAACGTACCAACTAGTTATTTAAAATTAATAAAATCTAGGAAAAAGTCAAACATCTATAAACAAAAAATAATTAAATAATTCTAGCTTATTTATAAAAACATAATTTTAAAATAATATAGATTTTTGTAATCTTTCATTTCTTTTTAAACAATTGAAAAATAAAACTTACCTTAAAAAGTGATTCTATTTTTGTTGTTTTCAAATCTTTTAAAATAAACTTAATAAAATAAGAGAAAATTTAAAATATTTAATTTATATTTTTAAAAATATTTCAGTTCTAAGAATGGTGTAAAATTTTAAGTTCGGTCAAAAATACGTGTCTACAGTTTGCCCCTCTTTGACTGGAAACACAAAGAGTTTTCAGACAAAGAAGTAGACAACGTGACAAGTTTTGACCGGACTCTTATTCGAAAAGAAAAATATGCGACCGAGTCCTAGTTTTGGACATCCTACATATCCCGGGTTATAAGGGAATCAGGTCATGTGTAGTTCTAGGAGATGAAATGATGAGTTGGAAGTCAAGTGAGGTCCCCTTGAGGCTCCAGTTCGCGACTCCTATTGTTACATGAATATAAAAGATGAAAAATTTAAAGGAAATACAAGTACACGACCCTATCTATGTAGCTTCTCTTGAACCTTGACTTGAGTCTTCGTCCTTCTTGAGTTATTAGATATTGATTTTCATCTCAAATGAGTTCAAAGGCAAACGTCTTTCTCCAGGTAGGTTCCTTTTACTTGTACTTGGTTATTGACTGTGTGTTCTTTTTAGAATGAGCTGCTGCTTTTTCAATCGAAATTGAGCTTGAAAATTACACTCTTTTCCATCCAAGATCCTGAGCTGGAAATGTGGATTGACCCCATTCTATCACTAGATTCCTGAAATTAAAACAAACAAAAATAATAACACAAAATTTTGCCCCAGTTTAATATAAGAAAATTTTGTGAGAGAAATAAAAGATGGTGCTTAGCTTTGAATCGAGACTTTGAACGATTCGAGCTTTGTCGCGATGTACTCTTTAGAAGGCTTATGCATGTTTACACCAACTCCATTCTTCATGATGAATCGGTTAAATTATGTTAGTCTAGTCCTATTGTTCAGGAGGGTCCTTGCTATACTACGTCCCATTATTCAGGAGGGTCCTTGCTATACTACGTCCCATTATTCAGGAGGGTCCTTGCTATACTACGTCCCATTATTCAGGAGGGTCCTTGCTATACTACGTCCCATTGTTCATGAGGGTCCTTGCTACACTACGTCCCATTGTTCAGGAGGGTCCTTGCTATACTACGTCCCATTGTTCATGAGGGTCCTTGCTACACTACGTCCCATTGTTCAGGAGGGTCCTTGCTACACTACGTCCCATTATTCAGGAGGGTCCTTGCTATACTACGTCCCATTGTTCAGGAGGGTCCTTGCTATACTACGTCCCATAGACTAATAAGACAAACAAACACTTACCCCAATATGGACTATAATTCTTGTGCAATGTTTCCATTTAGCTCTTCGTAGACTAAATTGAACATCTAGGTTTTGGACCTTTGATCACAAAATAACTTGTACCCCTGCTTTAACAAAGAAAATTTGTGAGTTTAAAACGTGGTGGTTGGTTTGAGGTTCTGCCTTTTGACGAGGATTGCTCAAGTACTTATCGTGTTTTACTTTTTTCCAAACTCCCAGTGCTCATTATTGATTGATTGTATTTGCACCCAAATTTGCTCATTTTTAGGGACTTAAATCCAATATCTGCCTTTATGTCACGACACTCATTGTTTACCCTTCATCAAATCATGGACTTTTTCGGAATCCAAAACTTGCCGACAGATGATAACTCATTAGCCTGATGATTTGCCTTGTACAAATTTAGAGTTGATAGCAAGTCTTGAAATCCTTTCTTACTTTCTGGACATAAACTCGACTCAAGGACATATGAATCAAAGTGATGAAAAGTGGAAGAAAAATATATACTACACGAGAATAGCAGAAAATGATTCGATGAAGACTCTCTTTTAGAAAGAGAAAGAAAGAAAAAACTTATCTGAGTGTGGTAGCCGACTCTATTGATCATGACATGCAATTTGAATTGATTACCCGATTTTTCCATCCAATCTATTCATCAACCATTATTGATCATCTAATCTTGATGTGGAGTTCCAACTATTTGACGAAATCATAACTAATTTCAAACTCTTATTCGCCTTATGATGTCCACGAGGGTTTTTGCCACTAAAACTCTTTCACTTTGAATCCTTCAACTCACATTCACCTCATGGTGCCCGTTAGGACTTTCACCAATAAAACTCTCTCATTTTTATTTCTCTCTACTCACATTCGCCTTATGATGCCCAGTTAGGGTTTTCACCAATAAGAATCTCTCATTTTTTTATTTATTTTTTTCATAACTCACTTTCGCCTTATGATGTCGAGTTAGGGTTTTCACCAATAAGACTCTCTCATTTTTGTTTCTCTCAACTCACATTCGCCTTATGATACCCAGTTAGGGTTTTCACCAATAAAACTCTCTCATTTTTATTTCTCTCTACTCACATTCGTCTTATAATGCCCAGTTAGGGTTTTCACTAATAAAACTCTCTCATTTTTTTATTTTTTCTTTCACAGTTCACTTTCGCCTTATGATGCCTAGTTAGGGTTTTCACCAATAAGACTCTCTCATTTTTGTTTCTCTCAACTCACATTCATCTTATGATGCCCAGTTAGGGTTTTAACCGATAAGACTCTCATGGTTTCATCATTTGTACCCTTAACATACTTACTCTTGACACTTCAAAGGTTGATCCAAAGGTCTTTCTCCAACTTTTATACAAGGTTAGAAAGAAATGACAAGATGAAGTCTCAAATACGACTTTAAATGATGGGATCGACTTTAGCTTTGGGATAGAAAGAATAAAAATAAAAAAAAAGACCTTCGCCCCAGTTTTTTTACAAATATGGAATTTTGGATTTTTTATATTTGGTTAGACCGAACCCCATACTAGGGTTGCCTACGTATCTTATCGAAACAAGAATCAGGTCAAACGTAGTTCATGTTGATTGATTTTCTTCTTCTTCTTTTTTTGTTTTTCATTTTTTTTTTCTTTTTCTTTTTTGTTGTTTTTTTTTTCTTTTATATGGGAAAGCCAAGGAAGCAGAAGAACCAAGGAAGTAAATTAAATCTCAACAAGGGTGACAACATATGACTTAATACTTAGACACAGAACCAAGAATTTCCATTACATCAACCTTTGAAATGTCAAGTCCAAACATAATGGTTTCTAATACCGAAAAGTCACATCATATATAATATCTTTTCACAGCATCAGCGTTGATGACCATTTCTGTCATTTTGCCTTCTATATCTGCTAAGTAAAGAGCACCATTGGATAATACCTTCTTTACAATGAATGGTCCTTTCCAATCTAGAGAAAATTTGCCTTTGACTTCGGCCTGGTGTGGCAGTATACGTCTTAACACTAATTGACCTTTTTCGAAACGTCTGAGACGCATCTTTTTATTGTATGCTCGTGCCATTCTTTTCTGGTACAATTGTCCATGGCATACTGATGTCAATCGCTTCTCATCAATCAAACTTAATTGCTCCATGCGTGTTCTGATCCACTCATCATCATCAATTTCAGCCTCTACAACAATCCGCAGGGATGGAATCTCAATCTCTCCAAGTATAACCGCCTCAGTCCTATATATCAGCGAATAGGGGGGTGGCACCCACTGACGTACGAACTGTAGTGCGATAA